ATTAAAACAACAGATACTATTAGTGCAGTAGGGGTTTCCTTAAAGACACCAAATTACATATAAGTAAGAATCACCCAACTTTACCATGATAGTATATTTATTACTTCTGAAAATTGCTTAAGTTATTTAGATAGTCATCTGTAAGGACCCACTGATGTTCTACTAAAGCTAATGATACTGGAATAAATAAAATACTACCAAATGTCTCCATTCTGATTTGGAAATACCACAGGCTAGATTCACAAAAGGATGTAGGTGCCTAAATGCCACTTTAGGCACCTAAATCCCAGAACCATGTCGCGGTGGGATTCACAAAATCCCCATTCAGCTACCGCCGAGCCCTGGTACCTAAACTCGCTTGATGCCTACATTTTTGAAGTAGAAGTTCCCTAAGTTTCTGCCTCTGAGCATGTGGACTGTAGCCCTCATACTTGGAGGTTGGCTGTCTAAGCTCCAGTGTGATTCACACGCTGGGTGAAGATAGGCGCTCCTCAGGATAACTCATCTACAGGGCCTGATCTGGTAGGTACGCTCAGACTTTACCTAGTGGATAGGGTCCCTACAGGCAGCAGCCTGGAGTTAGTTCTCCAAGAGGGGCAGGGCTTAGCACACATCCCTCAGCTTAGCACATCCTACGGGCTATCTTAGGGAGGAAGTTGCCTATCATACTGGCTTTTGTGAATCCCATTCTAATGTGCCCATCTCTCCCTACTCATTGTATGGGGAGCCTGAGTGCCTAACCCAGGCTTTGTAAATCTCAGTGATTTTCTAGGCACCTAAAAGTTTGGCATGATAATGCTCAGTGTCGCAGCGCCTAGGTTCCTTTGTGAATCTAGCCCATTTCTCTTTTTGTGAGGTATCAAGTGAACAAAATCTATATTTTATTCATGTGTGCTCACCTCTTCAGAGCACAGGCAGTCAATTCCTCCAAATTACGTGTGCTGTTTATTGTGGCATAAATTCCTAAATAGTGGATGAAAGATTGACATCCAGTTGTGAAAAGCTTAGCAAAGCTTTTTAATGGCTTGGCCAAAGGGAGCCTCTATTTTGATCAATGTCTGAAATGTAATGAGCTCATCTGGACAGAAAATGTATTCTCAGCATTTTCTTTGCAAAGTCTTTTTTTTTTTTTTTTTTTTTTTTAAGCTATGACCCTCACAGGGCTCACATCACTTTTGGCAGTAGTATTTAATACAAAACACTACTGAGATGAATAAAAATATGCCAAAACAATGTCTGTGGAAGAATTCTTACATACCAGTCATTTGATGCAGATCAGTTACTAAACTGAAACTCAAAAGAGCTAACACAGTAGCAGTCTGTTAAATGTTTAACCTAGTTAAATGGAAATAACATCCTAGGTTTATTTCAAAATAAGGATTCTTATTAAAAAAATTCCATCCCATTATTAATATGAGAATGTAAAGTACAAGAAGGCTGTTCTTTTTTAGTGTATATATACTCTAGCTTGTACGCATGTGTATGTGTGTGTGTGTATATATATATAAACACACATCATATTACATATTAATAGACTATACCCTGACCAACTATTCTGCTGTTAACTGTGACAGAAAATAGGCTGTTAAAGTCAGTTCAGTGACATTAGTGAGAGGTGCAGTACTATTTCACTGACACCACTGATACCTTTAAGTATTCTTTTGCTGACATTCAGGAAAGCTAGACTACCCTTTCAGTGACAAGAGAAAGCTAAATCATTACCTGTGGAAAGTTTTAAAACTTTTACCATCTCTGCAAAGTGCTTTGAGATCTACAGATAAAAAGTGCTACCTATGAGCTCCATATTAATTAATTATTATAATATATATTATATTATTGTAATATTAATTATTATTAGCCATAACTAACCTGAAGAGAACACCCAGGTTAATTCATGAGTGAAGTCTGCTGTTATTCATAAACCATTTACAATGACTTCATTAGAGCTCTCTAAGTCTATCTTGGTACTGTACTCACTCCTGAACTATCTATTAGTCTGTATTTACATTTGAGCTTATAAAGGGCATATTCTTCGAACGAGTTATTTCCTTTGACAGGGAACTGGAAGATCACACTTTTTCTATGTGCTGTGGAGAGACTGTAGTGTGATTTCATGGGGTTTTTTAGAGATCAGGATTTCTGGGTTCCCCCTTCAGTGACTCTACATCACATTAAATTTTTCTCTAAATGTAGTTCCTTTGGAAGTGATCAGTGTTGCCCCTTAAATCAGCTGGATGGAGTTCCTCGAGAAGAATGCAGCGTGCTTTCTCTGCACAGTGTGCTGCGTCCACCAACCTGCCTCCCGCCAGCCCATGAGTTCGGGACTTGCACTCTAATCCCTAGCAGGTCACCATCTTGGGATAATGGTTCATGGGATAATTTAATGGGATAATGACATGATTCATGAGTTCATTTCCATACTGTCAGCTTCAGTAGATCCTACAGTGATCTCTTCTGTCTTGCTGTGGTGTGATCTCAAACAGTCATGGAGAAAAGGATCAGCAGCGATTCCTCTATTTGATCACATCCTAATTAATAAACTCTGAAGATCTAGCTATCAGAAATACTAATGAAGGGGGCTCTGATGTTCTATCCATTTCCTGTACGTAGAGGTATCTTTTTACTTCTGGGAGCAAAGGTATTTTCTACAGTTTGTATTTAAAAGGTGCATCAACAGGCTCTATGGGTGAGATCATCACTCTCACACTGTCCCCCTTACAACGGGTGAAAGGACTGAGGCTGGATAAAGGTGCTCTAAGAGCTCTCATTCTGACTCTGGGAGAATTACCGTGGTGCAGGCATTGCTGAACACAGGCAAAAGGCCATCTTCCAATCAGGGCCGGCTCCAGGCACCAAGCACCCAAGCTGGTGCTTGGGGCGGCACCTGGAGGGGGGCGGCGCGGCGCTCTGGCTGCCGGGGGGAGAGCCGAGCCGAGCCCCAGCCGGGGCTCGCCGCCCTCTCGCCGCCCTGCCCCCGGCGCTCTGGCCGCCGGGGG